GTAATCTTGTAGAATTTATATCTAAATTATAAGATCATCTTAATGTCGAACACTCACAGATAAGTATTTTGGATTTTTAGACTATCCAGGTTTTTGAACTTAAATATTCAACTGAACGATCAATTTATAGTTAAAATTTAAAAGTGTAGATTGGCCTATATACCAATTTCATATTTCTATAATAGTTTAATTGAGAACAGATATTAATATTCTATTACTAATTCTAGTTTTTATCTACACTAATAAAATGAAGTATTTCAAATTGGCAAGAATTTCCATTATATTCTATTTTGGTGCTCACTTACATAGATACATATATTTTCATTATCATATATTACTCTACCTTTACTGCAGTATATAATAAAAGAACAGATAATTACTTAGCTAACAAAAGAACATTATATAACTATCTGTCTATACAAATAATTCTTTTACTATAATTGTAAATAAATTGATTAGACTTTCGTCACTGTGCCTAGCATGTTGGATAATGCCAGTGTGTGAATGCTAATGTTTCCAACTTTGACTGTATTATTAAGAACTGAGAGATATGCCAGTTGTATCTAATGCCAGGCGTACGTTAATCCATGGTGTAACTAGCGAGATGTCCAGACTAGGCGCTTAATGTAACATTAGCGTAATTATTCGTGCAAAATATTTGTATTCGTAATCACGCATTGTATTTCCTGTCAAATCCTGGCCGAGTTAAAAATCATTGATGCATAACTGCCGTACCTCAGTGGTGTACGCTAATCTGGGATCTGTTGGTGGATTATCATACACTAGTGATTGTTTGTTAATACTGGTGTCAACTCCGCACAAGTTCACACCACTTGATTAATGTTACGCTAGAGTAACTCATTGTGCCTGAACATAGCCTATAATTTACAAATATTGGCGTTAAAAGTAAACAAGGAAAACAAAGCAGAAACAAATATACTATAGATAGGCCTACACCAAGATCCATCCCTTACATCATAAGAAACTTAATAATAAAAATAATAATAATATACAATATTAGTATCCAAGCATTGCACTTGGGTTTTTCTTTTTACAGACTGGATATGACGCAATACTAGGAAGTGTATTACTGTCGAAAGGAAATTACAAACAGCAACAGAATTTGCAAATAAGCTTTACATGATGTCATAGTTTTGAAAACATGGTCAATGTTAAATTTTGGAATATTAAGACAGTCATTTACATAGTTTCATTTTCATAGGCATAACAATGTCTCTAATTTGTGTAAATATACATTAACAATAAAATTTTTGATTTGCGTATTTTGTATGTTTAATTAAGTTATTAGCTTTAAATTAACAGTCAAACGAGAAAATAGTTTTCTGTGCATGCACGGATCCAGTAGGCGGTACAGAGGCATGTGTGGCCTCCCACCCCACCCGTTTTGCTACTAAATTTTCAAAATTTCAATGCATACGGTACCGTATCAATGTTATGTGCTACTTACTTATCTATTCTGAAACTGTTGTGCACCCCGCCACCCTTCCCCCCCACCCTATTTGAAAGATTCTGGATCCGCCCCTGCTCTGCAATAGACATGACTTCTGCATACTATTCCGATTCTTTGCATTGTCGTGTAACTTGGCTGGTAATCAATTAATTGTTTATGTAGTTTGAAACGGTCTCTCATTAGAAGTAATTACATAATTTTTCTTTATAGGTTTATGTTGTATTATACCTTGAAATATAAAGACAACATAAAAATCAATTTTTATGACTATATTTCAAATTCTTTATGAGAAGGTCTTGGTAAGGTCTTGGTAAGTTATGAAAAGGCTAATGCTACAACTGGCTCAAGCCTGCATAAGTGACTCTTTCCTTTTGAAATTACTACTCATAACGAAAAACTAAATAATATTTCCTGTATTATTAAACCTTATAAAAAATTATCAATCTTGAAAACAACATTGTGGTCTCACATGTCATTGATTATACGCTTTATAAAACTACTAGTTTAGAGCGTGGACCACCAGGAGGGTGGATTAAGGAGAAAATTTGCCACCTGAAACCTAAGTATCTCTCATATTTTGACAGGCTTATATCTAACAGGGGTAATGAAAAAATTATCAACTTTGAAAATAACATTCTGTGATGCTACTGATTTTACAAATTTTTAAATTAACTTATAATATGGGTCACCAGGAAAATCGACAAAGGAGAAATACTTCCATCTGCCCAAGCACCATCCTTGTAAGATGTGGGTTGGAGGTTCAATCCCTCGCTATGCATTTCATATGTGTCCTTTGGCAAAGGAACTTTACCTACGGTTGTCTCTATACACAAGAGCACAAGGAAGTACCTGGTAGGTTCTAACACAAAATGTATTGATATAGAGTTCAACATTATGGAAGTCCTCCCAAGGGATCTTAGTGTACAGTAGATTCCACCCACATGCGGCACTTAGCGGCCACATTGGCATGAGCCACTAAATAAGTGTAACGCATTAATTATCCTTATTTGGTCGAGGCCAATGAAAAAAACAATCTTGTTCTTACAACCGATAAATCCGAAGAAATACAAAAAGGCTTAGTCTACGAGAATACTCAGAGTGGCGCCCTCATTTACACCATGTTAAACACTATATTCATAGTTTGCCATCAGCGTTTTTTTAACCTATACAAGTAGACTTTAGTAGACTGCATCCTTAACACCATAAGTAGAATTGATTTGATCTCAAATCCGTCTCCTCCTCCGTAATCCCAGTCTGTGTTTGTTTCAGATTTGAATTTTAAAGCCATTGTTCTCCATCTCAATTAAGACTTCTGAGACTTTGAAATCAGAATTGTCATATACAATTTCATCTATTTATGAAAAATTGCACAATAATCCCAACGTATGAAAAATATTGTTCTTAGCAATCAGATCTGAATTTCATTAAAATTGAATCCTACATAAATTGCGTTTGTTTTGTGTGCATGATTTGAGCAAATGTTAGAAGTATTTCATAACAAAACATATTAGGAATCTGTGTTTTATATCCAGGAACTTTTAGATTATTCTCTATGTATTACAAGCAGCAAATCTAGGATGTGTTTGCATGGAAATGCATGTCCCCAAAAAGCTTTAGGCCCCTGAAAACGTCGGGTGTGTTGGCATGGCGATGCATGCCCCAAAAAAGCTTTTGGATCCTCTGTTTGCCACCTATAATAGCTGGCCAAACACTGATCATGATCTTAGTGTACTTTTAAATAAATTAGTAAACAAGAGGCTAAACGAACAAGTTGTGACTGGCCTAATAATATAAGGCCCTAAAAATATCAGGCCATTATAATTAATACAAGCTTTAAATACTTATAATCTTAAAACAGAATAAAAGTTTCTTTCATTTATTTGTCTCAAAAACATTAAAATTTATAAGAACAGAAACAGCAAGGAACTAGCACAAAAGAACACGAGACAGGAACACTTCAAAAGTAAACTTAATCACTGTCGAGTTGGGGGGGGGGGGCACTTTGACAAAAAACAATGCTTACAATATAACAATTTTCTTACAGATAAAACATGTCAAGTTCTATATTCAAGAAAAATCAATAGTAAAACAAGCAAAAATTAAAAAAGTATTTAAAATATTAATATATTCTGATGATGAAGTAAAATTTACTTTTAGAAATTCAATTTTACAATTTCAAATTAATTTAAAGCAACTAAGTTAAAATGTAAGAAAACAAATAATCATAAAATTTCATAAAAGTTACAAAAAATATATAATTGATGCCCATTGCACTTTACACATTTGAGAAACATTTTAAAATATAATTATTACAATGATTGAGAATTAAAATATAAAATGTGTTATTAAAATTGTTTAAATTAATTCCAATACCTAAGAGTTAGAGTAACATTAAGCCTACTACATTTCTTTTTTCTTTTTATCTATGGACAGTGTTTTTACTACCTTTATTGTCTGACAGACCTTGAAGAAACAAAAACTCTCATACATCCTAATATGATGGGATGGAAGTTGATGGAAGTTGTTTTCATTCCGGTATTTGACCTAAAGGGCAATCCCCTACAAATGCCCAAGGTGTACCAGACTTAATGAACTTTTCGTAAGTTTAACTAATGCCCTTGACAAATTGCCTGAGTCATGGGTTACAGGGGGTAAAAACAGGGATTAGAATTCTCATAAGGGGAGTGGAAATTGGCACACAGGCTAAGTTTGTTCTCTTCTGCATACTAAACTTAATTATTATATTTGTTTATTGTTTATAAAATGATTATTTTTATATGTGTAAATTGTGTTTTTTAAACTAGCTTTTCTGTCTATGTCTCCATCCTTCTCATTATAACAATCAGAATTATTTGTATAAGAAAAAAATATATAATAATTCTATATTCACAAATGCAAGTAACATGTAAGACAAACTGAAGGTGGGCATACACTAAAAATATTGTCTGTCGGACTTAGCAGACAATTTGATCAGTATTAGTATATGACATCTTCATGCCTTCATATGGTGTGATATGACTTCATCATACTCAAATTTAGGTAAATCAGTTATGCTTTGCATTCCCTTTTTCATTAATCTTGAACAGAAACATACTTTTTGTTGTTTTATTATGGAATAAAGCTTACTTAAGTACTATTTGTCACATAGCTGTAAGTGTGAAAAAAGCTTTACTTATTATTAGACATTATAATCTGCTGGCATATCTCAATGAATATGTTTCAAATGTGAAATAAGACATGAAGTGAACAGACATCAAAGGTCAAGCTCAGGACACATCCTGAGAGGTTTGACCAAGGAAGTCATGGAACATTTCAGTGAGTTATGATCTACTTTTTATTGTCAGCATTGTAATGGTGAACCCAATACAGGCGGTTGTAGAAAGATGTGAGCCAGATTTGAAAGGCAGTGGATGGTAATGTAGTTTGTAGCTGTGGTGAACAGATAGTTACAACATGTTGAAAGATTGCTTGCCCAAAGTGCCTTCCTATTATCTACAGTATTATTCTTTTTTTTCTTCTCAGTAACATCTACAGGTCAGAGGCTGAATAATCAGATGTAGATTCTAATGACTAATAAGTATATTAGAAATTATATGACAGTTGCTACCATTCTATCCTATTATGATTGTAATAATGCATTTATTATTTGTCAATTATAATTAAATTGATCCTGGACATTATATAGCTTAGCAGAAATTACTGTAACATGTTTCATCCCAGTTACATTGTACTATTCTTAGTAAAAAAACACTGTTAGAGTTACACTGTACTTAATGGTACTATATAGTACAGTTCATTAAATTGGTGGTAACTACTGTGGTGAACCATGCAGATATTTGTGTCCATGTACATATTTCATCAAATTATTCTACCTATGAAATACAGGTTATAGTGACACGCAGTCTCTATGAAGGAGGTTATTAAGAGTGTTACGCTCTATGAATTTAAATAACCTTAAATTTCATTTTAAAACTTAATTTTATCCTTTTGTAATGATCCTTTTGCTTGTATTTCCCTTTTTGCAATTTTATTGCTAATTAATTTTATAAAGTATTTTAATGTATTTATGCGCTGTAAATCGTTCTTAGCTTTTGTAACTTTTACATTTTAAATGAAATGTTTAACAGAGATGGTTTATATATAGTTACATATTTTTATACTTGTATGTTTTATGTATTATTGTACTGCATTTGCTGCCAGGACAGCCCTTGTGACAGTAAATTTGCGTTGTTTTTGGGCCATCCGGCCAGTCTGCCATACAATTTTTATTGTTTTGACTGGTGAAATAAATGATATATGATATGATAAGCAGGGAATGCCTCTTGTCGGAAAAATTCCACAACATGGATGACATAATATTTTAAAATTATCATCATAATAATAAAAAACTATTATGACAGAAATAATAAGTAGATATACATATTTGAGAATATGTCATACAGTAACACTATCAACATCATTCTTTACACCACAAAGTTCATTAAAAATAATTACATTTCATGTCATTCTCATCGTCATAGAACAATGATTCACACCAGAAAAAAATAACACAAAAAATCAAATCTATGACATTTCTAAAACAAAACTTTATGGAGCTCAGACAGAGTTTTTGTTGTAAGTAAAAATATTCTGGAACTGGGAGGATTGGAACCCAGGAATCTCTATTGAAAGGTGACGATCTTAAAACTAAACCACAATAAATCAATTTACAATAAAATTCATTCACCACAGTATTTTCAAGTGAATATCCCATGCATTAGCAATTCCATTCCAGATCTCCACAGCAATAGATTAATTCAATTGTAGCAACAATTCCACCTACCAAACCAATCGAGATATCTTTTCAGATTTATATGTCAGTCAAACAAAGTACATACATTTAAAAGTCCTGCCCAGACTATCAATTTTATTTGACAAAACATGTGACATGCCTAAAATGATGCAAATATAGGCACCTAATGGCTATATATGGGCATACAAAATTTTTTTGTCAAAGAAAATTTGATAATCTGGACATAGCTTATCAAGTAAGAGCATTGTCCAACTTCTCCAACAGATATAAAAAGACATTTGTTATCTCTGAAAGGAGCATACACTACCAGATATAAAATCTGATTAAACATATTCTGTTGGGTCTAATAAAAATATTATTGATAGTGATGAATGACAAGCTTTTATCTAATTTGATTTGGAATTGAACACAAGCCATCCGATGAAGGGGGGATTGATACCTTGCATGATTTTAAAAGTATTAACTACTGCTATACAAAGGGTCAAATATCATTCTGAAAATTGAACAAACATCTTAAATGTCTACACACACAAGGTGAAATATAATAATGACATTTACAGAAAATCAATTCATGCGCCTGGTTTGCAATTGGACAGATAAAATACATAGAATTTGCAAACTTACGGTTTTCAATTTACGCTGAAGCTAAATCATCTTCGATAGATTTCAAATTGTTCTGGATAAATTCAATTTAGCATTCAACACAGGTGCCCACTCCTTCAGGTTTTAGTGCCAAAATTACCTCAGGCTTTTTTGGGGAGAAAGTTTACCAAGAAAAGCAATATGAGTACATAGAGGCTTAAGTGAAAAGATGATTTGGGTCCAGAGGGACTGCCACTAATGCATACCCCAAGGCAACATAAAAACATTAAATTTGGCAAATATATTCGCTTCCAATTTAAATATATGTCTGAGGAGATCTTGACACATGATGCAGAGAATGATAAAAAAAGTAGTACACTATAAGTGACCTTTCGAAGTTTGCTGACATAAATATATCTATAAACTTGAAATTAGGTTGAGGTTTTACTAATATAAATTATTCGTATTTCAAAAAGCATAATTTCTAATCATTACTCAGTTGCATTCTATCATAGTTGTTGTAAGTACTAGTGACTTTTTATTCTTAACTTTCCAATGATTTATTAGAATTGTATATGTTCACCATTTGAACACATCAAGAAAACAAATGTCATGTCACCTTATGATTATGACAATAAAGTTTATCCTATCTTAACTTACACTATAGCATTAACTCCCATAAATTTGATGTTCCAAAAATGCGAGTTGTGTATCCATACTTCAAGATGGCTGTCAAAGATTCAGCCAATCAAATTGTGCCAAGTCATTGTCAACTGCATCCTCAATAAAAAAAAGTTCCAAATACTGTTGTCTAGAACACCATTCCGCAACCTATTATTTGGGTCACGAAAAAAAAAAATGATGGGTCGTATAATCTCTTCAGATCGTGAAAACTTTGCTTGACACCAACGAAGACAAACAAAATTAAATTACAGCTACACGAAAGTGCAATTTAAGTGTGACAAGTGCGTCAGTTTACTTTTGTTATGCGTGCGTTATCACAGTTTCATGTTAGAAATATACTATCAAATCATTGGTACTTCAGGTATAACAACTTTAAAGTATTAGTTTTGTTCATTTCAATGTGTTAATAGGCTCCTTAGGCTTTCAGCTACAAACATTTTTTAAATTTAATGTGTCTAATATGTCTTCACATAACCCATAAAAATCATTAATTTTTAAAAGTGTTTAACTTGTTGAAAAATTTGATAACTTATGTGATTTTGTTACATGAGTAATTCAAAGTTATATTTTCATTTTTTGGATTTTGTGGGTGATAATATATTTGAATCATGTCAATTCACAAAAGAATCAAGTGGATGGTTCTTCCTGATATCCCTCGCGCGTATAAAACGACGGACGTTTTATTTACATTGGGTTTGATGGGTCGTGTCAGAGTGCTTGACATATAATTTGGGTTGTGGGCTAAAAAGGTTGCGGAACAGGGGTCTAGAAGATGACAACTTACTTTAATGATTAATTAAATGTTTAATTGAAATTTTCACGTTTTTTTTCATCAGATCTTACCCCAGCAAAAAATATTTCTGAGCCATATACTCCAGTATGACTAACATGCTTTATATTAAATCTCAGGATCTTTTAATAAAACCCATTGATTCCAGACAGAGACTGCCCTGAAGACCTAAACTTAACGAAACTACGAACATCTGCAAATGACACAAATGAAACCGTGCTAAGTGTAAAATGGGAGTTCACCTTGAACTCCGATACTAAAACACAAGCACATGGTTATCACCCCGGTTCGCATTCGGCTTTCCCAGTGTTTTTGATTACCCCTCTTTTCGCAGACCCATGGGATTGGACTTGCTCTCATTTTGGGTTTGATGTCTCGACTACAGGAGCCTTCCTTAGATGAATCATACAGTATATATTAATGTAGGCCTGTTCTTTCTTGTGGAAACAGGTTAGTCTCCTGCATTTTCCCTGGTAAATTTTTCCAAGTTCTTTTCTTCCTATCTATTTGATCCTATGTCAATTCCCTCTAGACTTTTTTCCCAATGATTGGGGGGGGGGAGGGGGCGGGAGAATAGCTGGGAGAAATAACAGCCAGGAAATCTAGCATTCATAATTTTGAATGCTAATGTATTAACTGATTTGATTGGTTGGTTATTTTGAGATGAAAATTTACTTGAATATACTGTTAATGTTGGACTAAACCAGCGAATACACACTTTTCTAGTCATTTCCAATAATTGTATCACCATGAAATACTAAAAACCATATTCATACAACATGTATTCTGGTATATACTCAACATAGAACGGAAGAAGATTAATATTTCATGATTAAAGTAATCACTCGTCATCAATGGAAAATTAAATTTTAAAAGTTTATGAATAAATAATGATGATGACACATTACCACCATCCTGAATCAATAGCTAATACTTAATTTTGTATAAGTTATTTATTATCCATATCTTTCTCAGACTATTCAAACACTTAGTATTAATCAAAAATGGTAAAAAAATTGGTAGTACAGTATGGATGTTTGGTAACCATGAACTTAAATGAACATAAATTGTATGTGAAAATTGCCAACTGTTGTGTAGTACAGTATGTTTAAAGGGGTAAGTGTAGCTTGTATTGGGAAAATATGGTTCAAAGGGGAAATTGAGATTTTAACATACACCAAATGATGAGGGAACCTTATCTGAATCTGGCAACTTACAACTTTCTTTCTGTATTAGCTTTAGGTACGTTGAGACGAAAGATCTTATTTTTTACAATCGAGGCAACAGAAGGGGGTTAGTTTTTCTGGTGTGTTTTCATTGAGGCTTTGAACGATCTTAGTTTTTACAACCGACTGAGGCAAAAGGGGCTAGTTTTTCTGGTAAATTTTAATTTCCCTACACATTTTTGGTATATTTTAATTTGCCTAAAATAATTGGAAACAAGGAGTAAAAAAATCTAAAACATTGCATAAATGTTGCATTAGTAAACTTAGTGATGTAAGACGGAAACTCCAAGTTGGGTATTAAAGCAATGACACCACCCACTGAAATTCTATTGAAATGAATGGATGATGGATTTTGATGGTGTGGTGATGACAAGCTCCAGTAAAAAGAAAAAAAAAATAGACAGTATAAAGAAAACCATAAAATGTCCCATGCAATATAGTTTTATAAAATTTGATGGTATTGGGGCATATTCAGGTTTTGAAATAATGGGATAGTGCAAATAGTTTGAGGATGATTTCATTGCGTGTGTCCACAGGGATGGCACTTCTCTCTGTATATTTCCTTGTCCAGGATTATAATATTCAGGTACCTGAATTTTAATGGCACTAAGTTACCTGCACGACTAGGAATGCTCCAGAAACTGGAGGATGCACCCGGTCGCCTGTGGCAGGAAAATGTGAGGTCTCACCACGAAATGAGACGCATCGTTGGTGAAATTATATTGAGATATTCACCAAAACAGGCCAAAGTCAACATTTTTACAAAATTTTGATTTTAATGTTTTTGAATAACTTGATACTTATATTTTATGATTGTGTACTTTTTAAGTGAATTTTCTTGCCAAAACAGTGTTCTCTGCACATATTCTGTAATTCTAGTCATATTATTTGTACAGGTTAGTTTATCTTTGAGGCTGATTTTCTCAAAATGTGGTTCTTATACACCTAAACTTTAAATGTTCACATCTCTGGATTTACTTATAATAGGGAAGCCATTCAAAGACCAAATTAAAACTTATCATGTGATCTACCCTAATATAATATAAACTCAATTTTTGAATTTCTAACCATGAGACTCATTTTGTGGCGAGACCTCACAAATGTGAAACATACTCCATTGTTCACTCCACCTAGGTAGGGGACCCGGGATTGCGCAAGGGCAGAGGCGAAGGTCTGTCTCTTATACACATCTAGATGTGTATAAGAGACAGGTATATATTAATGTAGGCCTGTTCTTTCTTGTGGAAACAGGTTAGTCTCCTGCATTTTCCCTGGTAAATTTTTCCAAGTTCTTTTCTTCCTATCTATTTGATCCTATGTCAATTCCCTCTAGACTTTTTTCCCAATGATTGGGGGGGGGGAGGGGGCGGGAGAATAGCTGGGAGAAATAACAGCCAGGAAATCTAGCATTCATAATTTTGAATGCTAATGTATTAACTGATTTGATTGGTTGGTTATTTTGAGATGAAAATTTACTTGAATATACTGTTAATGTTGGACTAAACCAGCGAATACACACTTTTCTAGTCATTTCCAATAATTGTATCACCATGAAATACTAAAAACCATATTCATACAACATGTATTCTGGTATATACTCAACATAGAACGGAAGAAGATTAATATTTCATGATTAAAGTAATCACTCGTCATCAATGGAAAATTAAATTTTAAAAGTTTATGAATAAATAATGATGATGACACATTACCACCATCCTGAATCAATAGCTAATACTTAATTTTGTATAAGTTATTTATTATCCATATCTTTCTCAGACTATTCAAACACTTAGTATTAATCAAAAATGGTAAAAAATTGGTAGTACAGTATGGATGTTTGGTAACCATGAACTTAAATGAACATAAATTGTATGTGAAAATTGCCAACTGTTGTGTAGTACAGTATGTTGATTCAGTACCTTAAAATGGCTTGTGAGCCAAGCTTATAATGAGACAGTAATGTTTAGAGGGGTAAAGCCTAGCTTGTATTGGGAAAATATTGTTCAAAGGAGAAATTTGAGATTTTAACTTACACCAAATGATGAGGGAACCTTCTCTGAATCTGGCAACTTACAACTTTCTTTCTGTATTAGCTTAGGTACGTTGAGACGAAAGATCTTATTTTTTACAATCGAGGCAACAGAAGGGGGTTAGTTTTTCTGGTTTGTTTTCATTGAGGCTTTGAACGATCTTAGTTTTTACAACCGACTGAGGCAAAAGGGGCTAGTTTTTCTGGTAAATTTTAATTTCCCTACACATTTTTGGTATATTTTAATTTGCCTAAAATAATTGGAAACAAGGAGTAAAAAAATCTAAAACATTGCATAAATGTTGCATTAGTAAACTTAGTGATGTAAGACGGAAACTCCAAGTTGGGTATTAAAGCAATGACACCACCCACTGAAATTCTATTGAAATGAATGGATGATGGATTTTGATGGTGTGGTGATGACAAGCTCTAGTAAAAAGGGGAAAAAAAATAGTATAAAGAAAACCATAAAATGTCCCATGCAATATAGTTTTATAAAATTTGATGGTATTGAGGCATATTCAGGTTTTGAAATAATGGGATAGTGCAAATAGTTTGAGGGTGATTTCATTGCGTGTGTCCACAGGGATGGCACTTCTCTCTGCATATTTCCTTGTCCAGGATTATAATATTCAGGTACCTGAATTTTAATGGCACTAAGTTACCTGCACGACTAGGAATGCTCCAGAAACTGGAGGATGCACCCGGTCGCCTGTGGCAGGACAATGTGAAACATACTCCATTGTTCACTCCACCTAGGTAGGGGACCCGGGATTGCGCAAGGGCAGAGGCGAAGGTTGACCCCTTTCAGATCTAGAGCTGTTAGCCACCACAACTCATTTATATTATTTTATTGTTAAATCATCATGCTTTTTGTTGTAAAGCATATGGGCCACCGCGCTGTACTGCACAGTATGCGATATAATCATCGGTATTCTGTTTATTGCCGCAGGTCCTTGTAATATTTGCAGACTTGTATAGCGCATAATACGTGGTCTGTAAGCACTGTATGAGATAGTTTTCATAGTATGCGCTATATAAATGTAAATTATTATTATAACATGCATTATGCATCCAATGGTCATGAATAAAATCAGAGCTATACAAGACAAACTTATCATAATTGTATGTAAATGTGATTTTCAAATAATTTTTTTTTTTTGGTAATGTTAGGAAGAAATAATTTTGGGCTTACAGAGATTCTAATAAACAATTCGCTGCCCAAGGTAATGCAGTCCAATTCAATATGATGCACTTGTTTAAAGAGTTTATTGACTTTTACTGATCTTGCTTTAATGCAACGACTTCCTATTGCTGATAAGAGGCATTTCCCTTTAACAATCCAAGTACATGTTCTTTCGTAATATACCATCCCCTAAGTCTAGTGCATTAGGATAAAATGCCGTATCTCAAGCTTTCACACAAATATAATTTTAAATGGAATAATAAAACCCTGTTTGTAAGTGCAGCAATGGGATTGTACTCTCAATATATCTTTAATTAATAAAACATTCCACAATTTTTTTCATTATAGTTTTTATTGTTTTCTTGTTTATACTTTTTATTCACATTTTGCCTCTTATTTTGCAAAAACTACAGCCACTTTTCATCTTTAAAATGCACCAGGAATGGTTGTGTAATCATATTTATCTGTGTGAATTCGTGATTTAGATGAATTTAAGTTTTCTCATTGCAAATATGCGATTATTTGATATACTGGTATGTTATTGCAAAGCAAAGCAATAAAAGTAGAGTTGTCCACCTTTTGCTAAAATACATATCTTATGAGGTTGATATAATAAAAATATTTAACAGCTTGTTTTTAAATTGGTCCCTGAAAATGTCGGGAAACACATTTCCGGGCACCTAATAAAATATTATTCCTTGGGGACCATGCAATATAACATGCTATTTTATCCTTTATTTCTGAATACATAATTTAAGCTGATCACTATATTTCAATTTATATAATTTGTGTTCTTTGTAACGTTTTTATATTGGACCATATAAACACCATCTGTCTATCAATGCCCTGGACGCCATAATAGCCATTCTATGTGGACCGTACGCCACATTTGATACGTGCAGACCGGCTGAACTTGACATGCATTTATATACCCTATCTATTAAAACACGCCTCTTCCCTGTAAATCAACCCTAGATTACCATAAACCCGGTTGGGGATCTCTACGATCAAATAATTAATCTTATTAGCCTGCACAGGAATATGTCTACAGCCATAATTGGTTGGTATACAGTGTACAGTACAACTTGCAATGTAGGCCTACTTTTGAAGTTAAGAGTATTTTGCTTGTGTGCGATAGCCACTGTTTCTAAACATAACCTCTACATCCTCCCTGTGCATATATTTTATCATAAATGAAAAAAAAAAATCCCTTAAAAAATTGAAATACTGTATAACATTTCAATATTCAAGATTTCTTTACTGTCCAAAGGATATTTCTGGCGGGAACAATTTCATTTCAATAAATAAATACAAAATAAAAACAGAGGTTAAAAAACATACTGCACACATAAATATATAAGTTAAGACAACAGTTAATAATAATGACAGTCAAGTAAAAAAAAAGTAAATATGTAAAACATGAAAAAAATAAATATAAATAATGGGAGATTTTAGTTTGTGCAAAGCATTGTGTGTTTGTCTTGTGAAAGCCAATTGTCACCTATTGCACAAATATGACAATGATATACTTACTATTGTCAATCCCTTGTACACATGTTGTGTGCCTAAATAAATTTATAAAAATAATGAAAAATAACTGCCTAAATATGAATCATTTATTGCCATAGCTATAAACAGGGGCAAATCAGACATGTCACAATGTTAATAGTGTGGATAGAGCATTAGGAATAAGGAAGGAAGGCATCTTAAACCTTCAAAATACATCTTCACCAAAAAGCATTTTAACATATATTTTGTAACCCATATTAAGTGACATTTATTTAACTAAAGCCCATTAAGTGCACATGCTGTTTTCTAGGCTGGGGTCACGATCAGTAAAACCTATGAAATGTTCAGGGATAATTCTATTAGCTGACTAGAACAATCTCATTATGAGGTCAACATAATATAAGTATACATATGCTTATATATGTTTTATATATACATAAAGTAAATATAAAATATATAATACAGAACATATCAAATATGACCAGATGTTCTGATGAGGAGTATTTCTAACCAACAAAGATTGTCTGAACCAAGACTTAAACCAAGATCTTCTGTTGTTCATTCGATAATTAAAGACACGTTTTGTTCCATCCAAGCCTCCAACTATTTCTTTTATCTACTGTATATCTATATATCTATAT